GAATTCTCAACCTTAGGCAAAAACCCGTGCCGTCAGGAACAAAATCCGGTGGGTCAGCATACACAAGACATCTCCAGCACCCTCAAAGTAATCATCAATAAACTTGCTCAAATCTAGAACTGAAATTGCCCCAGTAGCGTTTCGTGGCAACTTGTCAAAAGCTCAAGTGTTGTTGAAAGATTTGACTTCAAAGACAAGTCAACGTACATTTTGGGATCAAAGTTCTTTGGACCAAAAGTTTTCAGCGAAGTCTCCTGCAAAGTTTGAAGGAAATTTACCAATGGGGTTGTGGGAATCACAGGGCCCGTATCGGCACTCCATGTTTCTAACGAAGCGTTTACGATGTTCATGGTTGTTATTAACATGAACAAAAATATAAACGGAAACAAAGTGAAGGGGTAACTGTTGTAAGAAAGGAAGGCCATGACGGGGGGACAATAGGGAAGAGTTACTGTTGATTAGAGAAGGAAACATAATGTTGATTTTTATCTTAAGATCAAGGAAATAGCCGGCCACAGAAATGGATATTTGCGGTTGTTTTGTGGTAGTGTACGAAATTCTTCCTCTTCCTACTGGTTTTTGTCTTCGATCTTTAGATATGTCAGTATAAAGTGACGTAATAGATGACGTAACAAATCACATCACTTGCCACGTCATCACTTTCCACATCAACATTTAAAAAATATTTAATATTTAATTAATTATATTAATTAAAATATTTTAATTAATCCAAATTCAAAAAAAGAAAAAAAAAAATTTGTATCAAATAAAAAATCCCCGATTCTCTTCTTATAATTCAAAGTTTCAAAAGTAATACTACGTGCATTAATTAAATTATACTAATTTAAGTATTAGTAATTAAAATTTTAAAATTTTTTTCTCTTAATTTTTGGGAGAATTGACGTGACAATATAAGAGGCATGTCACGTCAGTTAGTATTTGAGTTAATATGATTTTTTTTTGTTAGTACATATAGCATTATTCAAGTTTCGGACCCTAACCTTCCATTGTTATTTTTCATATGTCATCTTCTTCCTCTCTCTCCTTCTTCTCTTCTCCTCCTCTTCCTTTCTTTATCTTTTTTTTTTTTTCTCTCTTCTCTTGCTCCTTTCTTCTCTATCTCCTCCCTATTTCTCATTCTCTTTCTCCATCTTCCTCCAATTGCACTTGGGAAGTGGCTGAATCTTGCCACCATTGCCTAGATCTGATGTTTGGCCACCACGGCCCAGGTCTGGTGGTTGGCTTAAATTTTATATTTCTTCAGTTTATTATTAGGTCTGTTTGTTTTATTATTTTGGATAAGATTTTCTAAATAATATTGGGTAGTTGAATAGGGTGAGTATTACGAGGTAAAATTTAAAAATTCACAAAAAAACCCCCTAGGTTTGCTAATTTAACTAAACACCCCAATATATAAAATTTTTGTAAAATGACAAAAAAACCCTCACCCACCCACAGTGCCAGATTCCGGCCACCACCGTCAGAATTTAGTTGGAAAATGGTGTTACGACGCAGGCCGGTCAGATTTGGCCGGTCATGCATCGATATGGCCTTTTCCGGCCAGATCCACCACTGATCTGGCAGGAAAAGGCCAGATCTAGCGGTCAACGGCAGCAAAAGGCCAGATTTGGCCGTAAGCGACGACCAAAGATATGGTCGTTATTGTCGGTCAACGACGGCCATTTCTTTGGTTGTCATTGACGGCTAGATTTGGCATTTTTCGACCAGATCTAGTGTGGATCTAACTGGAGAAGGCCAGATCGGAGAATTACCAGCCATTTCTAGTCGTTTCTACGCCATTGTGATAGATTCCGGTAACCAGCGACGGTGGTTGCCAGAATCTGGCAACTATAGGTGGGTAGGGTTGTTTTTGTTAATTTTTAAACTTTTTTTTTCTACGGGGTGTTTAATAAATTAATAAACTTAAGGGGTTTAAAAGTAATTTAAAAAAATAGAATAGTATTTCTCAAATAATAATAAAACAAGTATTTTGGGAATATAGATAGGAATAACAAAACAAAAGGACCATTAATTTTTCTTAAGAAATTAGATTTGGTTAATTTGGATATTGACGGGTTGTAATTAATTATGTTTTGTAATGTCTTTTTCATTGAGTAAGAAAAAAAAGAAAACAGAAAAAAAAAAACTAAAATGTCGGTAAGAGAGGAAGACAAGGGATTGGTGGTTGGCCGCACCTTGGCCCTGGGTCCCCTGGTTGCTGGTGAAACTGTGGCCACATGTGGTGGCAATGCCGTGGAAGGCAAGTGATTGGTGGTTGGCCGTACCTTGGTAGTGCCTCATGAATAGTGGTGGCACAGATTCGAGTGGTGGTGGAAGAGGATAAAGTCATAGACGGCGGTGGTGTGGTTGAGATTGGGAAACAAATAAGGAAGGAAGAAGAGGAGAAGAGAACAGAAGAGAAAGAAAGGGAAAAAGATAGAGGATGAGAGCAGATTTTTGATTTAGTATAATCAATTTTTTTTTCATTTAGGTTAATTCAAATATTTTAATTAATATAATTAATTAATAATTAAATATTTAAGAAAGTGGTGATGTGATAGCTGATGTGGCTTTCCAGCTATCATACCACTTTGTAAAAAGTTAAAAGTCTGTTTGTTTTGTTATTTTAGATAGAATTTTAGGAATAATATTGGGTAGTCGAATAAGGTGAGTATTACGAGGTAAAAAATAAAAATTAACAAAAAAACCCTCCAGGTTTGCTAATTTAACTAAACACCTCAATATATAAAAATTTTGTAAAATGACAAAAACACCCCCACCCACCCACAGTGCTAGATTCCGACCACCACCGTCGAAAAATGACGTTACGACGCAGACTGGTCGTGCGTCGATATGGCATTTTCTGACCAGATCTACGACCAAATTTGGCCATCAATGGCCTCAAAAGCAACGGCCAGATCTAGCATTTTCCAGCCAGATCCACTGTGGATCTAACTAGAAAATGCCAGAGTGGCAAATTACCGGCCAGTTCCAGTCATTTTTACGCCGTTATGACAGACTATGGGTGGGTGGGGGTGTTTTTATTAATTTTCAAAATTTTCTAGGGGTGTTTAATTAAATTAATAAATTTAAGGGGTTTAAAAGTAATTAAAAAATAGAATAGTATTTCTCAAATAATAAAACAAACAAGTATTTTGGGAATAGGATTGGGAATATGGGTAGGAATAAACGCACCCAAAGTTATTTTGTTCAACTTTCCTCTGTTTGTTTACTTTTCAAATCTCTATTCTATTATCCTATTAGATTATAGACAGTTATTGTAAATAGTAAAAAACGTATTTGTATTCTATTATCTTATCCTATTATAGACAGTTATTATAAAAAATAAAAAACATATTTTTTTAATATTGACGAAATTTAAATCAAAATCTAATTTTATTCTACTCAACTCAAAGCATACAATTACCTTTCACGATAAAAATTTATAAATTAATAAAAACACCCTAAGAGCATCTTCATTAATTTTAACATATGAAGAACACAATTTTTATTCAAATCCAATAGACTCTTTAAGTTTAATGAAGATGCTATTTATTTTGAAGAAATAGACTTAGAACATCTCCAAATAACTCTTTATATAACCCAAACTCTTTATTATAAAGAGCCTATCTATAAAAACAAAAGTCCAACACTCTTTATCTTTAAAATATAAATTAGAGAGTGAGTTTGACTCTCCACATTTAGAGAGTCAAATTTCACTCTCTATCTTAATTTTAATTAATAAACTACAAGTTCCTATGCATTTTATTTATTAATTCTCTCTCATATTAAGTCTTTTTCTTAAAAATAAAGAGTATCATCATTAAATTTAAAGAGTCTATTGGAATTGAATAAAAATTATATTCTTTATATTTACAAATTAATGAAGATGCTCTTTAAATAAAGAGCATCATTGGAGATGCTCTTAATGGGAGAGAAAATTATTAAATAAAATGCATAAGAACTTGTAGTTTATTAATTAAAATTAGGATAGAAAGTGAAATTTGACTCTCTAAACGTGGAGAGTCAAACTGACTCTGTAATTTATATCTTAAAGATAAAGAATCTGTTGGATTCTTGTTTTGATAGATATACTCTTTATAATAAAGAGTTTGAGTCATATAAAGAGTCATTTGGAGATGCTCTAACCCATCAAGCCACTGTCAACCACCACCAGAACAATTGGCGATCAACCAGATCTAGCTGATTGTGTGTCGAACTAGCCATAAAAAATTTGGTCAAATACACGGTGGATTTGAATGGAAAAGACTAGTTCAACGCACAACCAGCCTGATCAAACCGATTGTGTGCCATTCTGATTACTGCCAACCATCGTCCGATGATGGTAGCAAAATACCAACTGCGTGAGGGAGTGTTTTTGTTAAATGTAAAAGGTTAAAAAATAATCTAAATATTTTTAGAAAATGTATTTAAAAAATGTGTCAAACACATTCTCGGAATCCTATCTTATTTGAGTTAATCCTATTATATCTTATTCACAACAGTTTTTCATAATATCATATTTCATATAATATGCCAAACATTTTTTCATAATGTCATATTTCAAATAACATACCAAACAGTAGGGGTGTTCAAAAGAACCAGTTGAAACCGGAACCGGAGGGTATCCTGGGTTTGGTTCCGGTTCCTACCCAGAACTAATCTTCCATGGGTAGATTCTAACTCCAAATTTTTGGAACCGTTACTGTGAGGTTTCGGTTCCTACCGGAAACAGGAACCGAGACTAATATAAAATAAAATTAAATATTTTGGGGGTTAATAAAAACTTTTGTAAAAAAAATAATGTGAATACATTTATATTTATATTTCATAACATTTAAAGTAAGTTGGTTTGACTTTTGAGAATCTACCTATACAAAGTAATAGAGTTTGTAATTTTGAATTTATAATTTGTAATTTTATTTTTGTTAACAAGTGCCAGGTGGGGGGGTATTTGTAAGTTTTTAAGGGTTTTTTTATCATTTTAAAAACTTTTAGAGGGTCATGAATTTTACAGGATACCCAGAATCAGAACAGGAACTGTTGTTACAGCTTCCGGTTTTGGGTACCTAGGAACCGGTTCCAGTTCTGGTTCAAAATTTCAAGAAACCATCTGTTCTGATTCCTTCAAAAAGTACAAGGTACCCAGAACCGAACATCCCTACCAAACAGGCCTTTGATTTTATTGTTAACAATATAACCCCTGCAACTAAGAGGGCGTTTGAATATTGGTATATTAGTATACCATACTATTTCAATAAACAACGGCCTGCATCCTTTATTCCAGTATATCAAAATTCCTTCTTCAGTTTCGTAGCTCATTGGCAATCTATCTTCAGGTCTCGAGGCCATCCAAACTCCTCCAATAATGCTAATACAACTCCATTTGACCAACCAAAACCAGTCTGCATCAAAGCATGCCACAAAATAAATATTAAATCGACGGCTAATTTCAAGTCTAAAGATGATATTTCTTCAATGTACTCACCTGTGGAATGTATTCACCACCACCTCCGAAATCTCCACACTTTTCCACATTATATTTTTCATGCATAGCACCAGTTTTCTTGTAGGCAACATAGTTGGTTCTGATCCACCTTACTGCAATGTCTTCAGCCATTGCCCTTGCTTCTTCTGATCCTGATCTTAACAAACCTTCTATTATCATGTGTTGAAGCGGCGCCCAACCATTTGGATAATCCCTGTTTATATTATTGGAATTCGGTTGTGTAGGTTAATCGATGATAAATATAAGGGAATACATAAGGCAATGCAAATGTTAAACATGTTACTAACCATTGGTTTCCCGAATTTATCAAAGAAGTTGCTATTCCAACAGCACAAACCAGGCCTGAACTTTCAAGACTTTTTTTAACCTTCTTCACCAAACAAGTGTCTGTGCAAACAACCAGTAGGATTCTCAGTATTCCCCTTAAAAGGTTAGCACAAGTTATTTCCTCTCTCCAGATCCCACTAGTATATGTTTTGATTTTTGATACCATAATAAACCTGTGAATACCTCATAAAAATTTGGAATGTAATATGCCTTACAGAATAGACTTCTGTTCCTTGATATCAATTCTTATGTCCAACTAAAATACTGAACTCAAGAGGGCTAGGCCGAAGAGTTTAAAGGAAGAATAATGCTATCAAAATACATACGTCAAACTGAATGCAAAGGGTGTCGAAATCAATAACAGAGAGATCCTGCAGCATCTGCAATCCTTACTAGTTGCTAGAGACACATAGAAGCTCATCTATTTGGGCTCATTTTTTGACTCAAGGATAATAGCAGCAAAATATAGCTTCCTAATAAGATTCAGATCACCCACAGGGTCCCAGATCGAATCTTGAAAACTGGGTTAAAGTTCAAGTTCCTCAACCAAGTGGCTAAGCCTTGTTTCCAAAACATTCAGTCCATTAAGCCAATAACTTCACCTTGTCTCAAAGTCTACAATAAAAGGCACAAACCTGAGTTGAACAAATCAATCCATAGAGGCAAGTAATTTGAAGCATATGCCCTATGATTCTGGTTCGAAGCTTGCCATGCTTGACATTCCTGCAAGTATCAAAGCAATAAATTCAGGAAAACTGTCGAGAAAATTATATCATCAGCCGACAAAACCCTGCGTGTAGAAGTCACCTCAAGAGTAGCTCCATTATCAAACCAGTAATCAAGCCATTGCCACTTCTCTTCATTCCAAAAAACAGAGTTGATTGCCCGTTTTCTTGTTTGAGAAGCCTTCAAAAAGCTCTTGGCAGTCCTATTATCTCCAACAACTTTTGCAAAGAAGGCAATGTCAAGTTCCATCTGGACAATCATGTAGAACAGCACTTAATGTAAAAAGTGCATATATTACAAATCTTGAAACTTACTACCATAGTAATGTGTAATACCCTGAGTACGAATACATTTAAGTCAACAGGTAAAATCGATGTTGTGGTCAAAGTGGTGATATCCGAGGTGTTCCTGCAATAGAAAAATGAATTGAATAAGCTCTCGAAACTGGAAACTTTGTGAAATCGAAGTGAACAAGCCTGACAATTGAATCACATTATTCACATAAGAGAAGAAAAGAATTAGCTTTAAACTGAGCTTATGTGTGATTAGTACTAAATGAATAAAGAACAATAATAATAAATAAAAATTAACCTCATCCATCTTGTACTGAAATCCCATCCAGATTCAGAAGTCGAAGCTACTTCCCTATAAAAATGCTGTTTCTCAGAATCGTTCAAGATCTTTGAAGCAAATGCCTTGTCCTGTTACACAGAAGAAGATTAAATTTCTCACCAAAATACAGCGCAGAAATTATGCTAAAGTACGGGAAAAACATACGATGGTAGCAGATTCAGGCCTTGGTTTGTTCCACATTGCATAATACCGACTTAATTTGTGACTGCTAGCTTGACTATCTTGGACTGTCACACTGTGTATTCCTACAACAGCAGGAAAAAAAAAAATTTGTATCAAATAAAATCCCCGATTCTCTCTTATAATTCAAAGTTTCAAAAGTAATACTACGTGCATTAATTAAATTATCTAATTTAAGTATTTAATAAATTTTAAAATTTTTTCTCTTAATTTTTGGGAGAATTGACGTGACAATATAAGAGGCATGTCACGTCAGTTAGTATTTGAGTTAATATGATTTTTTTTTGTAGTACATATAGCATTTTCAAGTTTCGGACCCTAACCTTCCATTGTTATTTTTCATATTTCATCTTCTTCCTCTCTCCTTCTTCTCTTCTCCTCCTCTTCCTTTCTTATCTTTTTTTTTTTTCTCTCTTCTCTTGCTCCTTTCTTCTCTATCTCCTCCCTTTTCTCATTCTCTTTCTCCATCTTCCTCCAATTGCACTTGGAAGTGGCGAATCTTGCCACCATTGCCTAGATCTATGTTTGGCCACCACGGCCCAGGTCTGGTGGTTGGCTTAAATTTTATATTTCTTCAGTTATTATTAGGTCTGTTTGTTTTTTATTTTGGATAAGATTTCTAAATAATATTGGGTAGTTGAATAGGTGAGTATTACGAGGTAAATTTAAAAATTCACAAAAAAACCCCTCATTGCTAATTTAACTAAACACCCCATATTAAAATTTTTGTAAATGACAAAAAAACCCTCACCCACCCACAGTGCCAGATTCCGCACCACCCGTCAGAATTTAGTTGGAAAATGGTGTTACGACCAGGCCGGTCAGATTTGGCCGGTCATGCATCGATATGGCCTTTTCCGGCCAGATCCACCACTGATCTGGCAGGAAAACCAGACTAGCGTCACCAGCAAAGGCCAATTTGGCCGTAAGCGACGACCAAAGATATGGTCGTTATTGTCGGTCAACGACGCCATTTCTTTGGTTGTCATTGACGGCTAGATTTGGCTTTTTTTTCGACCAGATCTAGTGTGATCTAACTGGAGAAGGCCAGATCGGAGAATTACCACCATTTATGTCTTTCTACACGCCATTGTGATAGATCCGGTAACCAGCGACGTGGTTCCAAATCTGGCAACTATAGGTGGGTAGGTTGTTTTTGTTATTTTTAAACTTTTTTTTTCTACGGGTTTTTAATAAATTATAAACAAGGGGTTTAAAAGTAATTAAAAAAATAGAATAGTTTTCTCAATAATAATAAAACAAGTATTTTGGGAATATAGATAACACAAACAAAAGCCCATTATTTTTCTTAAGAAATTAGATTTGGTTAATTTGGATATTGACGGGTTGTAATTAATTATGTTTGTAATGTCTTTTTCATTGAGTGAAAAAAGAAAACAGAAAAAAAAAAAACTAAATGTCGTAAGAGAGGAAGACAAGGGATTGTGGTTGGCCGCACCTTGGCCCTGGGTCCCCTGTTGCTGGTGAACTGTGGCCACATGTGGTGGCAATCCGTGGAAGCAAGTGATTGTGGTTGGCCGTACCTTGGTATTGCCTCATGAATAGTGGTGGCACAGTTCGAGTGGTGGTGGAAGAGGTAAAGTCATAGACGGCGGTGTGTGGTTGAGATTGGGAACAAATAAGGAAGGAAGAGAGGAAGAACAGAAAGAAAGAAAGGGAAAAAATAAGGATGAGAGCAGATTTTTGATTTAGTATAATCAATTTTTTTTTCATTTAGGTTAATTCAAATTTTAATTAATTAAATTATATAATTAAATATTTAAGAAGGTGATGTGATAGCTGATGTGGCTTTCCAGCTATCATACCACTTTGTAAAAAGTTAAAGTCTGTTTGTTTTGTTATTTTAGATAGAATTTTAGGAATAATATTGGGTTATCGAATAAGGTGAGTATTACGAGGTAAAAAAATAAAATTAACAAAAAACCCTCCAGGTTTGCTAATTTAACTAAACACCTCAATATATAAATTGTAAAATGACAAAAACACCCCCACCACCCCACAGTGCTAGATTCCGACCACCACCGTCGAAAAATGACGTTACGCACGACTGGTCGTGCGTCGATATGGCATTTTCTGACCAGATCTCGACAAATTTGGCCATCATGGCCTCAAAGCAACGGCCAGATCTAGCATTTTCCAGCCAGATCCACTGTGGATCTAACTAGAAATGCCAGAGTGGCAAATTACCGGCCAGTTCCAGTCATTTTTACGCCGTTATGACAGACTATGGGTGGGTGGGGTGTTTTTATTAATTTTCAAAATTTTCTAGGGTGTTTTTAAATTATTAATAAATTTAAGGGGTTTAAAAGTAATTAAAAATAGAATAGTATTTCTCAATAATAAAACAAACAAGTATTTTGGGAATAGGATTGGGATATGGGTAGGAATAAACGCACCCAAAGTTATTTTGTTCAACTTCCCTCTGTTTGTTTACTTTTCAATCTCTATTCTATTATCCTATTAGAAGACAGTTATGTGTAAATAGTAAAAAACGTATTTGTATTCTATTATCTTATCCTATTATAGACAGTTATTATAAAAATAAAAAACATATTTTTTATATTGACGAAATTTAAATCAAAATCTATTTTTATTCTACTCAACTCAAAGCATACAATTACCTTTCACGATAAAAATTTATAAATTAATAAAACACCCTAAGAGCATCTTCATTAATTTTAACATATGAAGAACACAATTTTTATTCAAATCCAATAGACTCTTTAAGTTTAATGAAGATGCTATTTATTGAAGAAATAGACTTAAACATCTCCAAATAACTTCTTATATAACCCAAACTCTTATTATAAAGAGCCTATCTATAAAACAAAAGTCAACACTCTTTATCTTAAAATATAAATTAGAGAGTGAGTTTGCCTCTCCCATTTAGAGAGTCAATTTCACTCTATCTTAATTTTAATTAATAAACTACAAGTTTATGCATTTTATTTATTAATTCTCTCTCATATTAAGTCTTTTCTTAAAAATAAAGAGTATCATCATTAATTTAAAGAGTCTATTGGAATTGAATAATTATATTCTTTATATTTACAAATTAATGAAGTGCTCTTTAAAAAAGCATCATTGGAGATGCTCTTAATGGGAGAGAAATTTAAATAAATGCTAAACTGTAGTTTATTAATTAAATTAGATAGAAGTGAAATTTGACTCTCTAAACGTGGAAGTCAAACTGCATCTGTAATTTATATCTTAAAGATAAAGAATCTGTTGGATTCTTGTTTTGATAGATATACTCTTTTAATAAAGAGTTTGAGTCATATAAAGAGTCATTGGAGATGCTCTAACCCATCAAGCCACTGTCAACCTTTGCCGACCCCCACCAAAACGACTGGCATCAACCGGATCTAGCTTTGTGTGTTGATCTAGCCATAAAAATCTACTCAATACACGTGGATTTGAATGAAAGACTATTCAACGCACAACCAGCCTGATCAAACCGATTGTGTGCCATTCTATTACTGCCAACCATCGTCCGATGATGGTAGCAAAATCCAACTGCGTGAGGAGTGTTTTTTGTAAATGAAAGGTTAAAAAATAATAATATTTTTAGAAAATGTATTTAAAAAATGTGTCAAACACATTCTCGAATCCTATCTTATTTGGTTCTATATATCTATATTCACACAGTTTTTCATAAATCATTTTTCATATAATATGCCAAACATTTTTTTCATAATGTCATATTTCAAAAACATACCAAACGTAGGGTGTTCAAAAGAACCAGTTGAAACCGGAACCGGAGGGTATCCTGGGTTTGGTTCCGGTTCTACCCGAACTAATCTTCCATGGGTAGATTCTAACTCCAAATTTTTGGAACCGTTACTGTGAGTTTTCGGTTCCTACCGGAACAGGAACCGAGACTAATATAAAATAAATTAAATATTTTGGGGTTAATAAAACTTTTGTAAAAAAAATAATGTGATACATTTATATTTATATTTCACTAACTTAAAGTAAGTTGGTTTGACTTTTGAGAATCTACCTACAAAGTATAGAGTTTGTAATTTTGAATTTATAATTTTTGTAATTTTTATTTTTGTTAACAAGTGTCAAGGGGGTAGTCAACAGGTAAAATCGATGTTGTGGTCAAAGTGGTGATATCCGAGGTGTTCCTGCAATAGAAAAATGAATTGAATAAGCTCTCAAAACTGGAAACTTTGTGAAATCGAAGTGAACAAGCCTGACAATTGAATCACATTATTCACATAAGAGAAGAAAAGAATTAGCTTTAAACTGAGCTTATGTGTGATTAGTACTAAATGAATAAGGAACAATAATAATAAATAAAAATTAACCTCATCCATCTTGTACTGAAATCCCATCCAGATTCAGCAGTCGAAGCCACTTCCCTATAAAAATGCTGTTTCTCAGAATCGTTCAAGATCTTTGAAGCAAATGCCTTGTCCTGTTACACAGAAGAAGATTAAATTTCTCACCAAAACACAGCGCAGAAATTATGCTAAAGTACGGGAAGAACATACGATGGTAGCAGATTCAGGCCTTGGTTTGTTCCACATTGCATAATACCGACTTAATTTGTGACTGCTAGCTTGACTATCTTGGACTGTCACACTGTGTATTCCTACAACAGCAGTAAGGAAACAAGACATATGAAATTCGTAAACTATGAAGGTATATACGGTTCCAATCTTAAAAGGAAAAATAATAAGTAAATTTAAAGAAATAAAATGAACATATTATCATACCTGTATTCCAAAATTGATATTCTTTGAGCAGAGCAGGAAGAGCCTTAATAACCAATTTCAAGTCACCAGTCCGCTTGTATATTTCATGAATCATTGCACTCAGTAGGGGAGGCTGGCTGCAACATATATTCTCAAACTACGTCAATATTCACCCAAAATGTTATAATTAAATTATTAATATGAAAATCTGACCACATTGACAATTTGAGAACTTGCAGAAGCTTATACAAACTCCAAGATTACAGAAGAGTACAAGCTCCAAAAGTGTCACGGACTGACGATACTAAACATAGTTATCAAGGGGTTCAAATCACTCTCCTTTCACCATCATGCACGTCACAGACAGTCAAGAGAATGAATGAATGAATGAGAAGTATTAATGCAGACTGTTACGCTAAGCAAGGTCTTAAAGCTTGCGAAACTGAAATCTTAGAATTGTTTCCCTGAATCCACCATTGTATTGAAATATAAATGGAAACATTTTACATATATTTAATAAACGAGACATCAAATACTCCATGCATCATATTTGACTTGCTTATGAATTTAATGCAGAGAAGCATGAAAATTGAAAATAGTGAGCAAAAATACAGGAGCATTACCTCCTATTGGTGTAATAGGCCCTTGCACCGTTAAGAACATAACCATATGTATCAATGAAGGAGATGAGATTAGTCACAATTGATTTTGCAGTGGCATACATTTTGCTTGCCATCAAGCCCCTGCACAACAGTTAACACATAGAATCAAACTCATACATCTTCAAAGAAATGAAAATTGTACCAGCATTGCTCTTTCTAGATTGAAAAATAGTAAAAGCGAACCTTCTTAATTGTAAAAACAAACATGAGAAGTGAACTCGACTAACCTTATAACCCAGTAAGAATCCCAATAGTTGACCTCTTTAAAGCGAGACCCAGGAATAACAACCGGTCCAGGAAGGGGAAGCAAAGTATGAAACTCAGGCCGGTTCAAAACAGAGTCAGAAACTTTCCGACTCAAATTTTTCCACAAAGAATGCACTTCTAATGCCCATGCTCTCACTTGAGAATTCTCAACCTTAGGCAAAAAGCCCTCCGGCTCAGGAACAAAATCCAGTGGGTCAGCATACACAAGATCATCTCCAGCACCCTCAAAGTAATCATCAATAAACTTGCTCAAATCTAGAACTGAAATTGCCCCAGTAGCGTTTCGTGGCAACTTGTCAAAAGCATCAATTGTTGTTGAAAGATTTGACTTCAAAGACAAGTCAACGTACATTTTGGGATCAAAGTTCTTTGGACCAAAAGTTTTCAGCGAAGTCTCCTGCAAAGTTTGAAGGAAATTTACCAATGGGGTTGTGGGAATCACGGGGCCCGTATCGGCACTCCATGTTTCTAACGAAGCGTTTACGATGTTCATGGTTGTTAGTAACATGAACAAAAATATAAACGGAAACAAAGTGAAGGGGTAACTGTTGTGAGAAAAGAAGGCCATGACGGGGGGACAATAGGGAAGAGTTACTGTTGATTAGAGAAGGAAACATAATGATCAAGGAAATAGCCGGCCACAGAAATGGATACTTGCGGTTGTTTTGTAGTAGTGTACGAAATTCTTCCTCTTTCTACTGGTTTTTGTCTTCGATCCTTAGATATGTCAGTATAAAGTGACGTGATTGATGGCCTGACCAATCACATCACTTGCCACGTCACACTTTCCACGTCAACATTTAAAAAATATTTAATATTTAATTAATTATATTAATTAAAATATTTTAATTAATCCGAATTCAAAAAAAACATTTAATATTAATGCTAGGTGCATTAATTAAATTATACTAATCTAAGTATTAGTAATTGAAATTTTAAAAATTTTTTGTTTAAATTTTTGGGAGAATTGACGTGAAAATATAAGAGGTATGTCACGCCAATTAGTATTTGGATTAATATGATTTTTTTGTTAATACATATAGCATTATTCAAGTTTCGAACCCTAACCTTCCATTGTTATTTCTCATCTGCTATCTTCTTCCTCTCTCCTTCTTCTCTTCTCCTCCTCTTCCTTTCTTATCTATTTTTTTTCTCTCTCCTCTTCCTCCTTTCTTCTCTATCTCGTCCTTATTTCGCATTCTCTTTCTCCATCTTCCTCCAATTGCAATTGGGTAGTGGCTGAATCTTGCCACCATTGTCTAGATCCGATATTTGGCCACCACGGCCCAGGTCTGGTGGTTGGCTTAAATTTTATATTTCTTCAGTTATTATTGGGTCTGTTTGTTTTATTATTTTGAATAGGATTTTGAGAATAATATTGGGTAGTTGAATATGATGAGTATTACGAGGTAAAATTTAAAAATTCACAAAAAACCTCATAGGTTTGCTAATTTAACTAAACACTCCAATATATAAAAATTTTGTAAAATGACCAAAAAAAACCCCACCCACCCATAGTGCCAGATTTCGGCCACCATCGCCAGAATTTGGCTGGAAAAAGGTGTTACGATGCAGGCCGGTCAGATCTGGCCGGTCATGCATCGATATGACCTTTTCCGACCAGATCCACCACTAATCTGGCAGGAAAAGGCCATATCTGGCGGTCGACAGCCGTCGCTTAACGGCCAAAGATATGGTCGTCATTGTCGATCAATGACGGCCATTTCTTTGGTTGTCGTTGATGGCTAGATTTGGCCTTTTTCGACCAGATCTAGTGTGGATCTAACCGGAGAAGGCCAGATCGGCGAATTACCGACCATTTCTAGTCGTTTCTACGCCATTGTGATAGATTCCGGCAACCAGCGATGGTGGTTGCCAAAATCTGGCAACTATGGGTGGGTGGGGTTGTTTTTATTAATTTTTAAACTTTTTTTTTCTACGGGGTTTTTAATTAAATTAATAAACTTAAGAGGTTTAAAAGTAATTTTAAAAAATAGAATAGTATTTCTCAAATAATAATAAAACAAGTATTTTGGGAATATGGATAGGAATAACAAAACAAAAGGACCATTAATTTTTCTTAAAAAATTAGATTTGGTTAATTTGGATATTGAAGGGTTGTAATTAATTATGTTTTGTAATGTATTTTTTATTGAGTAAGGAAAAAAAGAAAACAGAAAAAAAAAAACTAAAATGTCAGTAAGAGAGGAAGACAAGGGATTGGTGGTTGGCCGCACCTTGGCCCCGAGCGCCCTGGTGGCTGGTGAAACCGTGGCCACATGTGGTGGCAGTTTCGTGGGAGGCAAGGGATTGGTGGTTGGCCGTACCTTGGCAGTGTCTCGTGAATAGTGGTGGCACGGATGCGAGTAAAGGTGGAAAAGCAACCCGCCCGGCCCGTGGCGGGTTGCTGCAAATGGCGGGTCAGTCCTAACCCGCCCGATGACATTGGCGGGCCAGGTTAGGCCCGCCAATGTTAGAGAATTGGCTGGCCCAACCCGGACCGCCAACCCTAACCCGCCGGGTTAGGCGCGGGTTGGNAATTACACATCATTTAAGAAAAGAACCTTGTGATATATTATATTTTTTGGGTTTTTAAAAAAGATTGATATACTGAAAATAAAAACGCATTTAACATATTTGTGGGAAAATGACTAATTTTTCAGAGTTAATTTGATCCAAATACTTAAGGGTCTAGAAAGGAAAGTTATTTTGTCCAACTTTCCCCTGTTTGTTTATTTTTCAAATCTCTATTCTATTATCCTATTATATTGTAAACAGTTATTATAAAAAATAAAGAACGTATTCATTTTAAAATCGACCGAATTCCATTCAAAATATAATCCTAGTATACTTAACTCAAAAGATACAATTACCTTTCAAAATAAAAGTTTATAAATTAACAAAAACGTCTCAACTCACCCAAACCATTATTGGCCACTAACAACAATTGTCGACCACCAACAGAATGACTAACGATCGATCAAATCTAATCGATTGTGCGGCAATCTGGCCATCAAAAATCTAGTCATTAACAATAGTCAGATGCATAGTGGATTTGACAAGAAAAAGTCAGTTCAACGCACGATCGTCCAAATCAAGCCGATCGAGCACCACTCTGACGATTGCCGACCATCGTCCGATGATGGTTGAGTGATCGAGAGTGTTTTTGTTAAATGTAAAGAGTTAAAAAATAATAGAAAATGTTTTTAAAAATTGTACCAAACAAATTCTTAGAATCCTACCTTATTTGATTTAATCCTATCATATCCTATTCACATCAGTTTTTCATAATATCATATTCCATATAATATACCAAACAGTTTTTCATAATATCATATTTCAAATTACATACCAAACAGGCCTTTGATTTTATTGTTAACAATATAACCCCTGCAACTAAGACGGTGTTTGAATATTGGTATATTAGTATACCATACAATTTCAATAAACAACGGCCTGCATCCTTTATTCTAGTATATTAAAATTCCTTCTTCAGTTTCATAGCTCACTGGCAATCTATCTTCAGGTCTCGAGGCCATCCAAACTCCTCCAATAATGCTAATACAACTCCATTTGACCAACCAAAACCAGTCTGCATCAAAGCATGCCACAAAATAAATATTAAAAATCGCGGCTAATTTCAACTCTAAAGATGATATTTCTTCAATGTACTCACCTGTGGAATGTATTCACCACCACCTCCGAAATCTCCACACTTTTCCACATTAATTTTTCATGCATAGCACCAGTTTTCTTGTAGGCAACATAGTTGGTCTGATCCACCTTATGCAATGTCTTCAGCCATTGCCCTTGCTTCTTCTGATCCTGATCTTAACAAACTTCTATACATGTGTTGAAGCGGCGCCCAACCATTTGGATAATCCCTGTTATATTATTGGAATTCGGTTGTGTAGGTAATCGATGATAAATATAAGGGAATAAATAAGGCAATGCAAATGTTAAACATGTACTAACCATTGGTTTCCGAATTTATCAAAGAGTTGCTATTCAACAGCACAAAACAGGCCTGAACTTTCAAGACTTTTTTTAACCTTCTTCACAAACAAGTGTCTGTGCAAACAACCAGTAGGATTCTCAGTATTCCCTTAAAAGGTTACAAGTTATTTCCTCTCTCCAGATCACAGTATATGTTTTGATTTTTGATACCATAATAAACCTGTGAATACCTCATAAAAATTTGGAATGTGATATGCCTTACAGAATTGAATTCTGTTCCTTGATATCATTCTTATGCCCAACTAAAGTACTGAACTCAAGAGGCTAGGCCGAAGAGTTTAAAGGAAGAATAATGCTATCAAAATACATACGTCAAACTGAATGCAAAGGGCGTCGAAATCATAAAAGAGAGATCCTGCAGCATCTGCAATCCTTACTAGTTACTAGAGACACTAGAGCTCATCTATTTGGGCTTATTTTTTGACTCAAGGATAATACAGCAAAATATAGCTTCCTAAATAAGATTCAGATCACCCACATGGTCCCAGACGAATCTTGAAAACTGGGTTAAAGTCAAGTTCCTCAACCAAGTGGCTAAGCCTTGTTTCCAAAACATTCAGTCCATTAAGCTAATAACTTCACCTTGTCTCAAGTCTACAATAAAAAGCACAAACTGGTTGAATAAATCATCCATAGAGGCAAGTAATTTGAAGCATATGCCCTATGATTCTGGTTCGAAGCTTGCCATGCTTGACATTCCTGCAAGTATCAAAGCAATAAATTCGGGAACTGTCGAGAAAATATATCATCAGCCGACAAAACCTTGCGTGTAGAAAGTCACCTCAAGAGTAGCTCCATTATCAAACCAGTAATCAAGCCATTGCCTCTTCTCTCATTCCAAAAAACAGAGTTGATGCCGTTTTCTTGTTTGAGAAGCCTTCAAAAAGCTCTTGGCGTCCTATTATCTCCACAACTTTTGCAAAGAAGGCAATGTCAAGTTCCATCTGGACAATCATGTAGAACAGCATTAATGTAAAAGTGCATATATACAAATCTGAAACTTACTACCATAGTAATGTGTAATACCCTGAGTACGAATACATTAAGTCAACAGGTAAAATCGATGTTGTGGTCAAAGTGGTGATATCCGAGGTGTTCCGCAATAGAAAAATGAATTGAATAAGCTCTCGAAACTGGAAACTTGTGAATCGAAGTGAACAAGCCTGACATTGAATCACATTATCACATAAGAGAAGAAAGAATTAGCTTTAAACTGAGCTTATGTGATTGTACTAAATGAATAAAGAACATAATAATAAATAAAAAATTAACCTCATCCATCTTGACTGAAATCCCATCCAATTCAGCAGTCGAAGCTACTCCCTATAAAAATCTGTTTCTCTGAATCGTTCAAGATCTTTGAAGCAAATGCCTTGTCCTGTTACACAGAAGAAGATTAAATTTCTCACTAAAATACAGCGCAGAAATTATGCTAAAGTACGGAGAACATACAATGGTAGCAGATTCAGGCCTTGGTTTGTCCACATTGCATAATACGACTTAATTTGTGCTGCTAGCTGACTATCTTGGACTGTCACACTGTGTATTCCTACAACAGCAGTAAGCAAACAAGACATTGAAATTCGTAAACTATGAAGGTATATATGGTTCCAAGCTTAAAAGGAAAAATTAGTAAATTTATAGAAATAAAACGAACATATTATTATACCTGTATTCAAAATTGATATTCTTTGAGCAGAGCAGGAAGAGCCTTTCTAACAATTCAAGTCACCAGTCCGCTTGTATATTTCATGAATCATTGCACTCAGTAGGGGAGGCTGGCTGCAACATATATTCTCAAACTACGTCAATATTCACCCAAAATGTTATAATAATTATTAATATGAAAATCGACCACATTGACGATTTGAGAACTTGCAGAGCTATACAAACTCCCAGAATACAGAAGAGTACAAGCTCCAAAAGTGTCACGGACTCACGATACTAAACATAGTATCAAGGGGTTCAAATCACTCTCCTTTCACCATCATGCACGTCGCAGACAGTCAAGAGAATGAATGAAGAATGAATGAAAAGTATTAATGCAGACCGTTACACTAAGCAAGGTCTTAAAGGCTTGCGAAACTGAACTCTTAGAATTGTTTCCCTGAATCACCTTGTATTGAAATATAAATGGAAACATTTTACATATATTAATAAACGAGACATCAAATACTCCATGCATCATATTTGACTTGCTTATGAATTTAATGCAGAGGAGCATGAAAATTGAAAATAGTGAACAAAAAAACAGGAGCATTACCTCCTATTGGTGTAATAGGCCTTGCACGTTAAGAACATAACCATATGTATCAATGAAGGAGATGAGATTAGTCACAATTGATTTTGCAGTGGCATACATTTTGCTTGCCATCAAGCCTCGCACAACAGTTAACACATAGAATCAAACCCATACATGATCTCAAAGAAATGAAACTGTACCAGCATTGCTCTTCTAGATGCAAAATAGTAAAAGGAACCTTCTTAATTGTAAAAACAAACATGGAAGTGAACTCGATAACCTTATAACCCAGTAAGAATCCCAATAGTAGACCTTAAAGCGCGAGACCCTGGAATAACAACGGTCCAGGAAGGGGAAGCAAAGTATGAAACTCAGGCGGTTCAAAACAGAGTCAGAAACTTTCCGACTCAAATTTTTCCACAAAGAATGCACTTCTAATGCCCATGCTCTCACTTGAGATTTCAACCTTAGGCAAAAAGCCCTCCGGCTCAGGAACAATCCAGTGGGTCAGCATACACAAGATCATTCCAGCACCCTCAAAGTAATCATCAATAAACTTGCTCAAATCTTTAACTGAAATTGCCCCAGTAGCGTTTCGTGGCAACTTGTCAAAAGCGAATGTTGTTGAAAGATTTGACTTCAAAGACAGTCAACGTACATTTGGGATCAAAGTTCTTGGACCAAAAGTTTTTAGCGAAGTCTCCTGCAAAGTTTGAAGGAAATTTACCAATGGGTTTGTGGGAATCACAGGGCCCGTATCGGCACTATGTTTCTAACGAAGCGCTTACGATGTTCATGGTTGTTAGTAACAAGAACAGACATATAATCGGAAACAAAGTGAAGGGGTAACGTTGTGAGAAAAGCAGGCCATGACGGGGGACAATAGGAAGAGTTACTCTTGAATTTTACATGATGATCAAGGAAATAGCCGGCTACAGAAATGGATACTTGCGGTTGTTTTGTAGTAGTGTACGAAATTCTTCCTCTTTCTAGTGGTTTTGTTTTCGATCAGTAGATATGTCAGCAATTGGTGGAAACCCAGTAGTAAACTTCACGGTGAAGATAATGAGATTGACTGGACGGCTGGCTGATTGTTAACATTTGCACAGTTGCTGGAGGTTTGAGAGTGAAGTGAGATAAGTAGTTGAAGCCAAATCGAGAGTGAATGATTAAGAAACTGGTTACGTGAAGTTAATATAAAATTGCAAATGATACGGAAGCTTTTATAGTTTATACATACTGAGTTACATATTTTTTAAAACACATATTTGTTTTAAAAAAAACACATATATTTGTTTTTAAATAAAAAATATCATTATATTGGAAATAATCATCTAAATTCATTTGTTAGAGATGGTGTAAAATGTTAATTGAAAACGAACACAAATGTTGTATTAAGTACTACATTACCACATATTTTATGGCCCAAAAAAAAAAATTGCTGCCCAAAAATGAGATTAATTTCGTTTAATTCAACTGTATGTAAGATTACACATCATTTAGGATAAGAACCTTATGATAACTTTTGGGATCGATAGAATTATTGTTTCTTAATGATTTTTTTTTTTTTTTTTTTGGGAGGGGGGGTGTTTTAAAAAAATATTAAAAAAGATTGATATAATAAAAATAAAAACGCATTCAATATATTTGTGGGAAAATGACTAATTTTTCGGAGTATTTGATCCAAATACTAAAGGGTCTAGGAGGGAAAGTTATTTGTGTAAAACTTTTCCTGTTTACAGAATCCAATTAAAAATCTAATCATATTCAACTTCAAACATACAATTACATTCATAATAAAAGTTTAAATAAAAAAAAATACCCCAATCCACCCAAACCATTGTGACCACCAAAACCAACAACCACTGTCGACCACCACCGAAAGACGGACAATCAACAAATATAGCCAATTGTGCACCGATCTGACTATCAAAAATCTGATCATCAATGACAACTAGATACACGATGAATTTGACCGAAAAATGCTAGTTCAATGCACGACCGACCAAATCAAACCAATCTGGTCATTCTAACAACTATCGCCCACATCCACGATGGTGGCCAACTAAGCTCGGTGGACAAAAGTGTTTTTGTTAAATGTAAGAGGTTAAAAATAATATAAATATTTTTCACAAAATTGTCTAAAAAAATATACCAAACACATGTTGAAATCTTTATCTTATTTGATTTAATCCTAATCCTATTCAAAATAGTGTTTCATATATCATATTTCAAATAATATGTCAAATAAGCCTTTGGTTATATTGTTAACAAATATAACCCCTGCAGCGAAGAGGGTGTTTGAATATTGGCATTAGCATGCAATACAATTTCAATAATCAATGGCCTACATCCTTTATTCTAGTAAATCAAATCTTTCAGTTCCATAGCTCACTGGCAATCTATCTTCAGGTCTCGAGGCATCCAAACTCCTCCAATAATGCTAATACAACTCCATTTGACCAACCAAAACCAGTCTGCATCAAAGCATGCCACAAAATAAATATTAAATCGATGGCTAATTTCAACTCTAAAGATAATATTTATTCAATGTACTCACCTGTGGAATGGACACCACCACCTCCGAAATCTCACACTTTTCCACATCATATTTTTCAATAGCACCAGTTTCTGGAGGCAACATAGTTGGTTCGATCCACCTTACCGCAATGTCTCAGCCATTGCCCTTGCTTCTCTGATCTGATCTTAACAAACCTTCTATTATCATGTGTTGAAGCGGCGCCCAACCATTGGATAATCCCTGTTATATTATTGGAATCGGTGCGTAGGTTAATGGACAATAATATAGGGAATACATAAGGCAATGCAAATGTTAAACATGTTACTAACCATTGGTTTCCTGAATTTATCAAAGAAGTTGCTATTCCAACAGCACAAACCAGGCCTGAACTTTCAAGACTTTTTAACCTTCTTCACAAACAAGTGTCTGTGCAAACAACCAGTAGAATTTCAGTATCCCCTTAAAAGGTTAGCCAAGTTATTACCTCACCCCAGATCCCACTAGTATATGTTTTGATTTTTGTACCATAATAAACCTGTGAACACCTCATAAAAATTAAAATGTAAATGCCTACAGAATAGACTTCTGTTCCTTGATATCAATTCTTATGCCCAACTAAAGTCCTGAACTCAAGAGGGCTAGGCCAAACAGTTTAAAAGAAGAATAATGCTATCACAAATACATACTTCAATCTGAATGCCAAGGGTGTCAAAACAATAACAGAGAGATCCTGCAGCATCTTCCATCTTACTAGTTACTAGAGACACTTAGAAGCTCTCTATTTGGGCTCATTTTTGACTTAGGCTAATAGCAGCAAAATATAGCTTCAAATAAGATTCAGATCACCCACATGGTCCCAGATCGAATCTTGAAAACTGGGTTAATTTCAAGTTCCTCAACCAAGTGGCTAAGCCTTGTTTCAAAACATTCAGTCCATTAAGCTATAACTTTACCTTGTCTCAAAGTCTACAGTAAAAATCACAAACCTGAGGTTGAACAAATCAATCCATAGAGGCAAGTAATTTGAAGCATATGCCCTATGATTTGGTTCGAAGCTTGCCATGCTTGACACTCCTGCAAGTATCAAAGCAATAAATTCAGGAAAAGTGCTTAGAAATTTATCATCAGCCAACAAAACCTTGCATGTAGAAGTCACCCAAAAGTAGCTCCATTATCAAGCCAGTAATCAAGCCATTGCCCTTCCATTCAAAAAAACAGAGTAATTGCCTGTTTTCTTGTTGGAAGCTTCAAAAGCTCTCAGCAGTCTCATTATCTCCAACAACTTTTGCAAGAAGGCGATGTCAAGTTCCATCTGGACCATCAAGTAGAACAGCATTAATATAAGAAGTGAATATATATAAATCTTGAAACTACTAAGATAGTAATGTGTTATAACTGAGCACGAATATGTTCAGTCAACAGGTAAAATTGATGTTGTGGACAAAGTGGTGATATCCGAGGTATTCCTGCAATAAAAAAGATGAATTGAATAAGCTCTTAACACTGGAAACTTGTGAATGAAGCGAAGAAGCCTGACAATTAAATCACATAAGAGAAAAAATAATGAGCCTAAACCGAGCTTATGTGTGTTTAGTACAAAATGATAAAGAACAATAATAATTAAAAAAAAAAAAATTAACCATCATCTTGTACTGAAATCCCATCCAGATTCAGCAGTCGAGCTACTTCCCTATAAAAATGCTGTTTCACGAATCATCAACAGCTTGGAAGCCCATGCCTTATCCTGGGAGACAGAAGAAGATAAAATTTCCAAAATACAACGCAGATATTATGCTAAGTACAGAAGAACATACGAGGGTAGTGATTCAGGCTTGGTTTGTTCCACATTGCATAGTACCGACTTAACTTGTGACTGCTAGCTTGACTATCTTGGATTGTCACACTGTGTATTCCTACAACAGCAGTAAGATATACGATACGGAAGTAAGCAAACGATCACATAGAAACTCGTAAAGTATGAATGCATGTTTCAATCTTTAAAGGAAAAAGTAATAAGTAAATTTACAGAAGTAAACGTACATATTATTATACCTGTATTCCAAAATTGTATTCTTTGAGCAGAGCAGGAAGAGCCTTTCTAACCAATCAAATCACCAGTTCGCTTGTTATTTCAGAATCATTGCACTCAGTAGGGGAGGCTGGCTGCAACTATATTCTCAAACTACGTCAATATTCACCCAAAATGTTATATTAAATTACTAATATGAAAATCTGACCACATTGACGATTTGAGAAATTGCAGAAGCTTATACAAACTCCAAGATTATAGAGAGTCAAGCTCCAAAAGTGTCATGATACTAAACATATTTATCAAGCTGTTCAAATCACTCACTTTCACCATCATGCACGTCCAATTATCAAATAAGTTATAAGATATTACCCATATAATCACAGACTGTCAAGAGAATGAACGAATGAAAAATATCAATCTAAACCGCTACGCTAAGCAAGGCCTTAAAAGCTTACGAAACTGAAATCTTAGAATTGTTTAACTGAATCCGCCATTGTATTGAAATATAAATGGAACATTTTACATATATTTAGTAAAAGAGACACAAAATACTACATGCGTCATATTGACTATTAGGATTAATGCAGAGAAGCATGAAAATTGAAAATAGTGAACAAAAAAAGGAGATACTCCTGTGTGTAATAGGCCCTTGCACCGTTAAGAACATAACCCTATGTATCAATGAAGGAGATGAGATTAGTCACAATTGTTTGCAGTGTCATACATTTTGCTTGCCATCAAGCCCTGCATAACAGTTACCACATAAAATCAAGCCCATACACGATCTTCAAAGATTTCTTAATGGAAATTGCACCAGCATTGCTCTTCTAGATTGCAAAATAGTAAAAGCGAAACTTCTAATCGTAAAAACAAACATGAGAAGTGAACTTGACTAACCTTATTACCAGTAGAATCCCAATAGTAGACCTCTCTAAAGCGAGACCCTGGAATAACAACCGATCCAGGAAGGGGAAGCAAAGTATGAAACTCAGGCCGGTTCAAACAGAGTCAGAAAGTTTCCGACTCAAATTTTTCCACAAAGAGTGCACTTCTAATGCCCATGCTCTCACTTGAGAATTTTCAACCTTAGGCAAAAACCCCTCGGTTCAGGAACAAAATCCGGGGGTCAGCATATACAAGATCATTTCCGGCACCATCAAAATAATCATCAATAAACTTGCTCAAGTCTTGAGCTGAAATTGCCCCAGTAGCGTTTGTGGCAACTTGTCAAAAGCGTCAATTGTTGTTGAAAGATTTGACTTCAAAGACAAGTCAACGTACATTTTGGGATCAAAGTATTTGGACCAAAGGTTTTCAGCGAAGTCTCCTGCAAAGTTTGAAGGAATTTTACCAATCGGGTTGTGTGAATCACAGGGCCGTATCGGCACTGCATGGTTCTGACGAAGCTTCTACGATGTTCATGGGTGTAGTAACAAGAACAAAATCTAAACGGAAACAAGTAAAGGGGTTACCGCTGCGAGAAAAAGAAGGCCATGATTGGGGGAGAATAGGGAAGAGTTACCGCTGATTAGATAAGGAAACATAATGTCCATTTTTATATGATGATCAAAGAAATAGCCGGCCAC